CGCCCCAATACGTACCAAGAATGGTTAGGCACACCTATTGTCCCTCCTTCTCCTCCGAGAGATTGGCCGAAGGTGCTCTGGCCAAGCGAGACCCCATGTACAGCATGGGCTCCTATTCTGCAGCGCCCTGTCGACCTCTCGTGCCGAGTGTACGCGGACGACACGAGCAAAACGCATATGCTCACGTCCGCAGAGAATGCGCATTTACCTTGCACACGGCCCACGAGGGCCTCACGGACGCACTGGACGAATGTGGATGTGCCCGCAATGTGGGGAAAAAACACCATCGTTAGTTGGTCGAGGGGCCCATGCGCACGTAGCAGCAGTCTTCGGGGGAAAGGTAACGATCTCGGGGCAGGTGCAATTCGATAACATAGCGCTCGGTATACATACGTCCATAAACGGAGGAGCACAAGGCGAGTTGAGGAGAAGGATTCTGGCATGCAAGAGGGCTTTCTACTCGATGGGGAGGCTCTGGGCTCGCAATTGGGTGTGGAAGTTTACCTGTTTTGTATTCGGTGCTGTTGTTCAGAATGCTATACTATCGGGCTTAACCACCCTTATGCTGACGTGCACTCAGGAGACTAGGCTAGATCGAATGGGGATTCGCTCGAACATTGCTGGGAGGAAGCACATGTGCCAAGACGGAAGTGCTTGACGAGAATGGTGAGCCCCAAATCGACAGTTGCGGCCAGCCAATTCTAAAATACCGTGCGCTCACCGATGAGGCTGTGCTCCGGCGGGTGGGGGTGGCGCCTTGTGAGGTCGAGTTGCGGGTTCGACGCTTGCGTGCGTATCGGAGATGGATTGCCCGTCCCAATTGCCATCCACAAGAGATCGCGACCGTGTTCGACCAGCTCCCGCTCGAGATGACCCCCACTGTCCTCGACAATGGCACCCTCGCCCCCAAGGTCAACCCATACGCTCGTAGGCTTGCCCTGGACATCCTGAGGCTCCTGGACCGCTCAGGGGCTAAGGACCTGGAAGAGCTGCTCAAGGTGCTCGACCCGTCCCTGGAGCCCTGGAGGTGTCTGAATGTGCGTGCTCCTTTCCTGGACGATGATCTTCGAGGCAGGTTTCTGGCTATAGATCCTGGGCCACTACGAGCTGCTGCGGAAACGGTTGCCTCTCCTCCTCCTCCTCCTCCTCCTCCTCCTCCTCCTCCTCCTCCTCCTCCTCTTCCTCCTGGGCCCTGGGCTGTGTGGCCCTGCTGCTCCCGAGGTCCCTGAGGTGCCGGAGGCCCCCCCACCGCCGTCCCCGATGTGGAGGTGTGGGCTTCGTGGCGGACCCGAGGGAGCCGAGTGTGGGAGAGGGCTCAGTGCGAGGGGGGCTCTGCTGGCTCACCAGAGGCTCTCCATGGCAGGGGGGGCATGCTTGCAGATCGGTGGTGCACACGGCGGCTGTGGCCAAGCAGTGCATCTTCTGCCTCCCGACTTTCAGGCCTCGTAGGTTCGCTCAGGAGCACCTGGTCCAGGCCACTCTGCCAGGGGGGTGCTTCGCACTGGCCTCTCCCTTCAAGCACCCCATCATCCAACCCGAGTCGCTCGAGTGCCCGTTCGCCTCTCTCACGGTCGGATCGGTATTCGGTGGCGACTGTACCGACTTCTGCTGTCTGGCTGAGCATCCTTTCGGCACGCTGCCCGAGCTCACTCGGCACCTCCCCAATCACGTCCCCCGTGAGTGAGCCCACATGTTCGGCGATACGCTCGCGCGCTGACGTTCCGCCTCTCCGACGAGCAGATCCAGGAGGCCAGATCGCGCTCAGAAGAAAAGGGGGCATCTCTAAGGAGCCGAACTATATACACCGACGCTTTTCCGGCCCCGCACTGAAATGCGCACAGGAGAGCGGATCCTGGTGTATACGGATTCTGGTGTATACATGTTTTATTGCTCCCCCCAAGGAAGTGGGACAACAAGTGTACACCCCACCACCCCGACGTCGTCCCCGACCCTCAAAAAGTCCTGGGATTGAACAACGGCCCGCCACTGGTAACGTACATGCTCCAGCTTCTGAATCTCAGCCTCGAGTGCGGGGATGTGTCCATATCCACCGCCTAAGAACCGACGTCCTGGTGCCCCAGCGGGCGGTGGATATGGACATCTTTCGGCCCCGGGGGCCCGAATGTGTCCATATCCGCCGCCCGCCGAGGCTTCGAAAACAGACCCTCCAGGCGGTGGATATGGATCACTTCCCGCCTCGGAATCTCAGCCTCGAGTTAAGGCGGGCCTGTCCCCCTGCAGGGGGATTTTCGACGACTAGTTAAAAATACCCCCAAAAGAATAAAACAAATAATCAAAACATAGTCTGGGGACTTTTTTATACCTTTTTTGGAGCATTGTTGGGGTACTTTTTTTATGTTTCGTGGAACATCCCCCTGTGGGGGGACACGCCCGACATAAGCCTCGAGTGCGGGGGCGAGGCCGCCCCGGCTCGGCAGCAGCCTCCCCGCGCGCGCGGCGGCCGCCAGAGGAGGCCCACGGCGCGGCACAGCGCCGAGCCTCGAGCCGCGCAGCCCAGGGCAGCGGGGAGCCCAGCGGAGGAGCGGCGGCGGGGCTCGGCAGGGCCCGTGGCCTACCGCAGGGCGTCATCGAGAAGCTCCCTCCCAGGGACGTGCAGCACACGGCTACACGTCGGTCGGAAGAAGCAGGCAGAAGCATAGAGTGGGACTGGCGGATATGGTGGATTGGGTCCAGGCCCTCCCAGAGAACAGCAGAACACAGCAAAAGCATGCCGATTCTGGAAGTAGGAAGGCGCTTGAAGTAGATTGGGATCTGGGAATCCAGAAATACCTACTTTCAACGACCGGCGTGTAAGCTGTTGCCCGTGAGGATGCGTGCGGTGCTGGGGACCTCATGCAGGATTCGTTCCCTGGTGTCGGCCGAGCTTCAGACGATGCTGACAGACGGGTCGTCTCCGGTGGTGGTCGCGGGCTTCCAGGGCGGCAGGGCGTACGCCGTGCAGGCGGTCAAGATGAGAGAGGAGAGCGCAAAAGACCCGTCGAAGCCGCTCCCAGAGGTCGCCATGGGTCCCGCGTGCGTGCAGATATTCCTCATAGCGTGCAAGAAGATTACGGATGCAGGTGTGGCGGTGGGCGCGGCGACTCAGAAGAACTGGCAAGAGCAGCAAACCAAACTGGACGCAATCACGGACCTCACGGAGTCTTCTCGTGAAGGGTTTCCGCGTGTCTCTTGCCTTCAAAGAAGGCCAGGCGAAGATAACGTTCTCTTTCGCGGACGTCGTGCTGACAAAGGTCTGCATCGCTTGCGTGACTCAGATGGGGGGAGAGCTGAAGATGGGGATAGCGCCGAGGTCGAACACCGAGCGAATCCTCCAGCTCGCCATCGACCAGTTCGAGGTGTGAAGCCTGAAGGTGGTCGTCGTCAGATTGCTGGTGCTCGAGGGAGCGCTGATGGCATGACGGGGGTTCGATTAACGCCTGATGTCGCCCTGATGGGGCTGTCGTCGCCAATCAGAACGCACGCCTCTCGCTCTGGCACCGGGGCAAAGCGCCAGATCGCACATCCCGCGGCGGTGCTAATCGGGCCGTCCGCAAGTTCAGCGTCGCCATTGCCGGATGGAAGCCGTCAGAGCCGAGCTCTCGGACAGTGGCGCGCGGCGAACCGTCGGCGTGCTGGGGATCAGCTGGGTGCGGAGGATCGCCAGGGGGCCGACGACCTTCGGAGTGGGGTGGGTCGTGGGAGTGCGGTGAACCCTGGGGGTGCGGTGGATCGTCAATGCTGGAGACCTTCGGAGCGGGGTGGATCTAATTTTGTTGTGGGACCTGCTGGTCCGTCTTTATGTTTTTCCTCGCGTGCTCAATATGTAGCCGTGGTTAGGCGATGACAGATCGGGGCTCCCGTTCCAAGGGGAGCCGTCGTTCAACCGTCCTCGAAAGAGTCACGCACGGTAGGTCGCTCATTGTCAAGTGCAAGCTGGCAGTGTGTTTGTCGTTCGATTGAGTTCGACCTTCGGCCCGACACCGATTCGCTGCCGCCGCCGCCTCCTTTTTCTTCCTCGTCCTCCTCCAATCTTCCCTTCCCTCCTTAAATGTCATGTTTCTCTTCTTGCTCCTACTTGCTAAACTATCCCTCCTCCTCCTGCGCCTCCTCCTCCTCCTCCTTATCCTCCTCCTCCTCCTCCTCCTTCCCCTCCTCCTCCACCCGTCTTCACTTTGAGCCTTCTCCACCATCCTTCTCCTTATCCTGCTCATCCTCACTTTACTCCTCCCCCTTTCTTATCAGTCTTTCCTCCGCCCCTTGTCCCTCCTCCTCCACCTCCTCCTCTTCATCTCTACATACCCTCCCTTCTTCTCTACCCTCCTCCTCCTCCTCCTCCTCCTCCTGCTCCTCCTCCTCCTCCTCCTCCCTCTCACGTCAACGTCCTCCCTTCCCTACTCCTCCCCCAATCAAGTCCTCGCTCTTCCCCCGCTCCCCCCTGCTCCCTCCTCCCGTCCACCTCCTCCGCCTCCTCCTCTTCTTCCTCCTCCGCCTCCTCCTCCTCCTCCTCCGCCTCCTCGTCCCACTCCTCCCCCGTCCTCCCCAAGCATCCGCCGTCGTGCTTTCCTGCCAGAGTCCGCGAATGTCGTGACGCCGCCTTGGGAACGGCCTGTCATCCTGAATCGAGGTTGATGGTACTGAGGCTCGGAAAAGCGGCTCCAAGAGGCAATCCATGCTGAGCACAAACGAATGCCAAGGTCTGAGGGTCCTTCCCTCATATTGGTGGTCTCCAAACCAGGTGGTGAGACACCCGGTGGTGACCCCGATTCCCCCAAAAAATAATTCTGGGTCACCACCGGGTTTGGGGACACGCGGTCGCCACGAGGTTTTGCGTTTCCTGGACCAGCCAGCGCTCGAAAACCATTACCCAAATCGCCCAAAACTCACCACCGGGTGTTCTCACCACCACGTTTGGGGACCACCAATCATACCCCACCCAGCCACATCCCGGAAGTAGGCGGCGCTCGCCACGGGCCCGCGCGCGCTTGCTGGACGCAGCCCCCTCAGCTGCCCCGGAACTTGCCCAGGATGTGGAGGGAACAGACCTCCCCGACCACGCCGCCACGGCACGTCGTCGTCGTCGGCGACTCCTCCCCCTCCCTGCTCGTTCTCATCGTCCTCCATCTCCTCCTCTTCCTCGCCCGCGTGCCCACAGCGGAGAGAGGGGAAGGGAGGAAGAGGAGGGGATGAGATTGGGAGGAGGGAGGGGGGATGAGGAGGGGGCAAGAGGAGAGGGGAAGGAGTTGGAAGAGGACCAGGAGTGATAAGAAGGAATCCTTCTTATCACGTATCCTGGATGCGTGTCTTCACGAAGGATGATAAAAAAGAGTGCTTACTCTGACCCTTTACGTATCCTGGATACGTAAAGGGTCAGAGTAAGCACGCGGGGGTCTGCTAGCCAACCGCTCTAGTTGACTGACTCCTAGGTGGCAGATGGACGCACGCCCTCATGCCGATGCTCGGGAAGCTGCCCCGGGGGCGAACCCTCCCCAAAACTCTCTGGGGTGAAGGGCTGCCCCGCCCGGCGGGAGACCCCGCTTCAGTGAGAGGGGACCCTGTGACCAGCGGGCGGGGGTGGCTACCATGTGTGTGGTGCACCCTCCCCGCTGGGGAACCTCCAGCACGACGCCCGCGCCTACCCCACCACACTCCCCGCGCTCTCCCTCCAGAGAGAGAAAGTAACGGCACGCTGCTGGCATGTGTCATGGAAGAGGGAAGGACAACTTCGGCAACAGTGTGGGCGCGCCGCCTTGTCTGGGCGAGAGACTCTGTGAAAAGAAGAAAGACTGCTAAGTACTGCCGTGCTGCACTTCTACGCCGCCGTCACGCACGACATTTTGCCTAACTCCTAGCTTAAGTCGGGCGTGTCCCCCTACAACGAATTTTCGACGAAAAACAAAGAATATACCGAAAATGCTTCAAAATGGTCGAAAATACTCAACAAATAGTCCCCAGACTATTTTTTGATTATTTTTGAGTATTCCCCCTGTAGAGGAACAAGCCCGACAAAATCCTAGCTGTCCAAAGACGAATCCCGCCGCTGCCGCGAACTGTGGGTCACGCAGCCTGGGGTCACCTTGGAGATGGGCCGCTCTTCGTCCCTGCGCCTCCCGGTGCTGCGGGGCCGTGGAAGCCTCCGCGCGAAGGCACTGGAGTCTGCTGCGCTCCTGGAGGCTTGATCTGAAGGGGCACCAGGACACACAAATAAATACACACAACTAAATGGAGTCCCAATATTTTCCCAGATCTTATGGGTTTTTGTCTCCCCCCCCCAACTTCCCACATTTTCCCATATTTTCTGGGGAACCGACGATTAATTGTGTCTGTTTCTTTCCCTCCTGATGATCGCGGTGGCGTTGAGGTTCTCCTGCTGCTGCGCCATGTCATAGCCCCATCCGCGCGCGTTGCTAGTCTTCTCTCGGCGTGCGCTCAGTCCAGCTCGTCCGCGTGGCGCCTCCCCCGCCCGAGCTCCCACGGGAACGGTGCGGTTGTCGTCCCGATGTGGTCGCCCATGAGTCCGACGAGCTGCCTGGCGCTGTCGATGGCCTCAGTGGTATTGCCAACCGAGAGATCTAGACCTTTCAGTTCTGGACCGCTTGAGCTCTCTCCAGCACCTCCTGTGTGTCGAAACCCGCGTAGTATTCGTTCCTCGCGAGGCTGGTGGGTCCGAAGGGCACGTTGTTCGCCATCTTCTCGTAGATGCTGATGATCCCTAGTGGACTGCAAGCGGTGGGCCGTCTTCAAGCGAGGTAGGACATTGTGCCGGGGATCTGGTTGTGGTCGTCGCCTCGGTTGCGTAGCTGCCCTCCGCCCGTAGTCTGCGTTGCGCTCGCTTATGGCCCACTGATGCCTTCGGCTGGTGTCCCAGCGCCTGGATCTCACATGGTGACCCCACGTTGGTTCCTCTTGACGGCGCCCGTGGTCTTCTCGGCAGGTCCGCGTCTCCCCTCGGGATAAGCGTGGGGATATGATCGAAGCTGCTCCCTTCGACAGAAGCTGCGGAAAGCGCGTCGGCGGCCCTCTGTCCGGTGCTCGCGCCGCCTGTCCTGCAGTCGCAACCTCAACGGACATTCTGGGCCTTCTTTTCCGGCTGCTGGTAGAGGGCCCTTGGCGGGGCTGGGGGGGGGGAGTGAGGCGGGGCCGCGTGCCGAGGATGCCGAGGTACGCGCGTTTTTTTTTCTCGGCGTCTCATAAGTGGTAACCTGTCGCACAGGTGCCCGCTGCATGTGCGGGGTGGGAAGGGGGGGGGCGGGGGGCAGGAGTGATGCGGATGTCGCGATCTGTCCGTGTATTCAGGGTGGTGACGTGGCAATGTGGTCACCCTCGTGGTTTCTCCTTCGGCGCGGCAGTCCGCGCTGCGTTTCTTCGGGCTGCGCTGCGCCGCGCGTGACGATGGGGCTGCGCTGCCTCCGCGCATCTGAGCGTGGGCCCTGAGATCAATTAGCCGTACTGGCATGCTGATCTACTGTGCGAATGAATTTGTTCCGGGTGGGCGGCGTTTGCTGGGCTGTCTCAGCAGGGCCAAGGCTGCGCGACGCTTGGACATGTGCGTTCCAGCGCCGTGGCGGCCTCGAGCGAGGGCGTGGGGCTGCTTCTTCGAACCGCGTCGCTGGAGCTGCGCCCCTGCCGCGCGCTCGAGCTCTGAATTGGGGGCGCAGCGCAGGAACGCGGCGCCCCCTCAACAAAAAAGAACCGGGATCGCCAGGCCGATGCTGAGCTTTAAGAAGACCGCTCGGAAGTCCAGGAGGTTCGTGTCCTGCTCGTCGCCCATATTTACCTAGTCGTTGAGCGCTGCTCGAAAGTTGGGCGCCGTGCTGATCGCGTGCTGCACTTTCCTTTTGTGGCCCTCGCCCATGTCGTCGCCCCTCTTGTAGGCGTCCGGCGGCAAATTTTTGCGTGGTCTCTATGTTGTCCACGGGGTCTGCCGAAGACGCTCCTCCTCTGCCGCCATGTGGCGCTCCTCCTTGACCGCGACCGGCCCCCCTTGCCCGTCTGCCCGCTGCGTTCTTGTCCTTCTGCTTGCGCTCCCCTGCCGACTGCGCTCCTCGCTCTCCCGGAAGCGGCCAATTTGCTGGCCTGACCCGCCAATCCGTACTTCGCCTCGAGCGGCGCAAGCGAGTGCGGTCCTGGACCCCGTCTAGATTTTGAGCCCGGCGGTTGCATTTGAGGCGTGTTAGCGTTGTAGGTTCGACAACTGGGCGTGCCAATCTTAACCGGTCCTGGTGTCATATCCCGCGGTAGTGCGCCGCTCTCGTCGCATGGTCGATCGTCGTTTTTCTCTTACTGAACGCGCAGCAGCGCCAAGAGCATTAGTTTGTGACGATAAGCGTTGCCACCAGGGGTCGCACGCTGTGGAGCTCTCGGCGATGCCCAACATGATGCGCGAATGTTGCAGATCGCTCCCCGCGCGTAGGTGCGTGGGTCCCCCCTTCCGCGTCCGTAGTTGCGCGGTCGCAACAGCGCTGTAGAAATGGCGCCTACTCCTGCTTCTCCCCCTTGCCACTCTGGGGGCGAGGGGTGGCTTCCAGAGCCTTTTCTCCGTGTCAACGCATTTCAACCTTTCTCGCACTGCTGAGCAGGGTGCCAGCCGACTACTGTGTCATGTGGTGCTGGCCAAGAAAACCTCGAGGTCTGGCGATCTAGAACCTGCATCAAGTCGCGCCCTCTTCGTCTCCGGCAAGCTCCCCCATGTCTTCAGCGAGCTGCTTGGCCCGCGGTGTCGACTGAGTCCGCGCCCGATCACGCGCCTCCAGCCTCGGGGCATCCCGGCGCGCGGATGACTTGGACGCGCCGAGCGCGGCTGCTAGCGCTGCTCCGCGCTCCCAAACATGTCGGGACCAACGCTGGCACCGTCGCAATCCGCGCGCCCTCGACGACGCGTCAGCGCGAGACCTGCAGCGTTGCGTGTTGTTGCGTCGCGTGCCGCCGACGTCTCTCTGTCTCAGCTCTTTCACCCCGCCAGCCAGTGTCCGCGGGCATTCGCTGAGCGCTCTCCAACGCATGTGCGCCGAAAGCGCTAATGCAGAGGAGCTCTGTCGCTAAGGGCCGAGCCGTCCCCCACCGCGTGACCATTGACATTTGACGTTGGGCGTGTCGCGGGGCGTCCGTTGTCTAGAATATACCGCGCTGTCTCCGCGCTGTTCTGGCGGCCGCGAGTTGGTCCGACATCTCTCCTGGCGTGCCTTTCTGCTGGCATGCGCGCCCCCCGCGCCGTGATCTCACTGATCTCCCTAAAGACGGAGCCCTGCACAGTTTCGCTTCGCCCTAGATTTCGCGCGGTGCCATTGCTGCACGCCAGTGCCAAGTGGGCAAGGCGGCTGATCTTGCCGCGGTCAGGCCACAAACCCCGCTGGTCAGAGAACCACGCGGCGGCGCCGTTGACCAGTCACTCTGCTTCTTTGGATGTTGCTCTTGATGGAATAGTTTGCGTCCTCTTTGTGACGTCCATGAGCGCGTTCATGGATCGGTCGCGCGTCTTCTGCGACTGGTCTGGTCGAGTCGCGCGCGCGTTGCAGGGCGCCCGTGCGTTCCCGACCAACGCGCAGGTTGCGGGTGTCGTTGAGACGCCTGGGGCGAAGAACGAAGCGCACTCGTGCTCCGCTTGTCCTTCCCGCTTCCAATCTTCTGTCTGCCGCGTGAAGTGCGAGCGCGGAGTTGTCGGCGGCTGCCATTGCGCGTCGTTGCCCTGTACGGCCTGCGCGTTGGAAAAGCGACTGCTCTCAAGAGTGCCCTGCCTGTGGCTGCGAATGCGTTGCCTCCGTCGTGGCTAGCGGTCGTTGTAGACGCGCCCCTTTGCGCGACCCCCAGTGCGGCGCTCTGCGCGCGTCGCCTTTCCCCTGCATCTGCGACGCAAGATGGATGCCCGAGTGCTGGGCCATGCTGAAAGAGTCGTAGGCGCGGAAAGCGCGTGTCCACGATCCCCGTTTGGCATCTCTGTCACTCGGTAGGCCTGAGGGGGGCGCCAATAGGAGGGGCCGACCTGTATTCTGCGGCGCCGGGCGAGGAACTGGGCGACATAGTCATGGCGCTTGTAGCCGCGCCCCGC